TAAACGCTACTACCGTTGCCGTCGAGTAAGGAACGCAACGCCCTCAAGGGCTCGGATAATAACGTGACACAATGGCGCCAAGTGGAGGAGGAACTTGCCATACCTACCCCCTCCCTTTTGCTCTCTCTTTTTGAAGCTTTTTTCTACAAGAATAAAGGGTGTTGCTGTACTAGGAGCGAGTGCGTATATTCGCACACTTTTACTTGTAGTCTTGTTTCGAATTTGTAGAGCGCAACAGTGGACTATACCCCGCTCGTGGTGATTTTGAAAGTAGCAGGTAAATTGTTATTTATTTATTTTCTGTATTAGCCGCACACTTGACTTCGTGCACTCGGTCGCAATTTCATTAGAATTGCTGAAGTTGAGTGGAAGAAATATATGATATTCTTTTATTGAAGCGTTGAAAAGTTTGTGCAGTCGGCAAACCATCAAACGTCGAAATTATTTGAAGAGAAATAATTGAAAATTACGCTGACCGAACGAGAAAAACTTGCTTGTTTTCATTAGCAGTCATGTTAGCGAACTTTTCCTTTTATTGTTCTCTTACCTCGGGCTGTTTTTTTTAGATAATTTCGTTGATGCCCTAGCGCCACCGACCATGGCAATCCTCGAAACGAATGAACTACACGCCGAGAGACAAAGCGCGTGAGAGCGCGGTGGCAACCGCGATTCGAGGCAGGGAACGGGGTGTAAATTATGGCGCTCTTGAATGCAGCAACCGTAGGCCGTGGCTTTATTTATCGCTGCGTCGCGCTCTCGACTCGCTTTATCTTCTTTCATTTTTTGCACTCTGCACTTTTTTTCCTTTTCTCTTTTATTTCTTTTTTTGTGGCTTAGCTCGTCTTTAACTTGCTACGGAATTAAATGCCCTCCAGCGGTATATATTTTTAATTGCTTTGGGTTGGTTTACTCGAGCGAAAATTGGGAGATTTAAGTGAAAGAGGTCTCGCTATAGTCAGGCAACCGGTAACTTTTTACTCTCCGACCCATTTTAATTGGTCTGTGTGTCTTTCGCTGTTTGTCTCGGACTTTATAGTCGCTTGACACAATTTCAGCCAACGCTACAATTCAGTGATATATATTGTGATCTTACTCAAGCAGCTTCGCCAAGTTATTGAATACCTCATAAAGTTGGATTGCTAAGTCATAGCGCAGAGTATGCGGAGTCTGGGTAAAAAGGTAACTCTTGCTCGCAAAACTTGCTCTAACCAGACTGCCTGTCTCAAGACGCACGCGCGTGTACTCGTAATTACGTCTTAATTAATGCTATTTCTTTGCCGACGCGACCATGATTGTTATGCCGGGCGCCGATCGCACCACTTGCATTATTCAACTGAGAAAGAGGGTGTCGAGAGATGTATGGTTCTTGCTGTAAAGGGGTGAATTTTCGAAGATTTTTCATGGCTCGTTCTGACAGTTAATAAAAGTTTATTAATTATTTTCATCGTACATTTCTGACCACATTGTTTTACGTTCACTTATTAATTACGTTATCCATAAAAACAATATAATGAAATGTCAGTTTGAACTTTTACGCTATTCTACAGCTTGTTTTTCTTTGATTCTATTCTCAAATAACCGAGGCGAAGTTCTGTAATCGTAAAAAAATGAGTATAGCAGAGGAAGAAATTGAATCGCCGTTATGAAATCAAATCTCGTTCGGCGTTGCACGTCGGATGTGGAATTTAATTTTCAATTATCGAGACGTTCGTGTTTATGCCGCGCACGACCATTGCTTTACTGTTCTGTCCATTCAAAACTTTCACGTTGATCCACCTGCTATTTCACTTTGCTAATTGAGTTTCCGTTAATGAAAATTTTTCAATCGCAAATATGAGACTTTAATAATTTTTTTCTCAATAACGTTGAATTCTAGGACTTGTACCCATTGGGACTTTTGTTCAGAATATCCACATCTATCATATAAAAAAGTTTCAAGACATTTCACTGAGGACCACTTTTCCATAAGAATAGTGCGGAGTCCTTTTTCAACATATCTGAAAATACAATATTTATTGGTTTTGAAATATTACTTGACTTTGAGGTGCATTAATTCATAACGTCAGAGATAAAAATTCCTCCGCAATACCAATAATCTGAAATCTCCGACAATGAAGAGCGTGGAAAGAGGAATATTCTCGATAAGACGCTAAAAGTCACGCGCTGTCAAGCACACATACACTCGCGAACGAGTAGTTCGCTCCCTTTCAGCGAAGGGAAATGATCCGCTCAGTCGAGGCGTGAAGCTCTTTTGGCAAACGCGCGTGTCAATGGGTTCGCGCATATATACGCATATGCCACAGTCAAAAGTCGAAGACGACGTACGAACAGTGAAGGGGAAAGCTCGTGCTTGCAACATCTGCCTTCGCATCTCGTGGAGAAACTGCGCAGCTGCAGCGATGCGTATTCGTCGTTTGTCAATTCACTGGGGAAGACAGTGGGAAGGCATAACAGTTTTATGGGACGTGTCGACTTCTGTCTCTGCACCTGTCACTAAATAGTTTCACTGATTATTTCCGGGAGATTAATTCGATGGCGATGTATGAGTCCTTGAAATGATCGGTAATCCTACGATATAATAAATCAAATTCATATATCTCATATAGGTACTTTGCGATTATTGATAGCGCGCAATTTCTGGCTGCGAACGAAGAATCCCGATTGAAAAACATAATTTTTCTGTAGAACGATCGATATGGCTACCATCGTCACAATTTTTCATTTGGTCGAAATTTATAGCGGACTAAAAAACTCGTACTTGGATAATGCACAGTCAGCTAATGGTCATTTTTATTTATCACTACCTACGAATCCGTAAGTTCTATACTAACTTTCACGAAAATAAGCGTCGACGATGGTAAATCTAGAAACTTATTCATAAATTTACGTGAATGATCTCGGTAATCTTGGTGAAAAAAAATTTCAGAGGAACTTTATGAGTCTTCAATAATTGTATTTGCATACGATCGTCTCGCTCTTCATTTTGATAGTGTAAATTTGCATTCATATTCGCGTCTAAGCCAGCGACATAAAGTAGGACTTTAGTGTACTTTGAAACAGAGCTGTAAAACAAACATATTTCGCTTGGGCGTGACGAATAAGCGACACTCACGAAGGGGCTCAATTTGTAATGCGGACCGCTTTTTTATCTGTTATAGGGTCAACTGAATGTCATCTCGCCATAAATTCCAGGTCGCGAACGCTATAATTTCCGAAAAAAAAAAAATGTTTTCAATTCAAACATTGCCGAGCTATGAATCTCGAGTATAATCAAAGCAATTTAATCGAAAGCCATCGTTGTAAATCATACAGCAGCCGCGGCAGCCTTATCTGCAGATACACACTCGTCTTTTAATAATCGAGAGAGCAGCAATTTAACCGCGCGGCCGCACCCTAATCGAAAATCTTGTAATTTATTCGGGCGGAACAATTGGCCACATCGCCCGCGTTGCTCGGAAAATTATGCAGCGGCGAAAACCTAATTATCCGCTAGCGAGCGAGGGAATGACAATTAACTTGTCTTGGGAGCTCTTCGTCACTTGGCTACGCGCGACGCATTCTCGCGCGCCGCTGCGGCGGCCACCGCGATTGTCACTTAATTTACTTGGCGCGCTAGTGTTACTACGGCCGGTCGCGACGTAAACAGGTGTCATGCTGCAAGCCAGGCTAATTCATTTTGTAGTACCGGAAAATGTAGCGCAAACAAGCGTCCGTTTCTAATTCTCACACGCGCCAAGCTTTCCATTCGCTCTAGTCGTCGCGTCGGTGACTTTTTAGAGTCCGACAACGTCCCTCGGAAATAAGAACATTAGACTAAGTAAGAGATAAGTAAGTAGAAATGCTGGCGCTACTGTTGGCAAGCGACAATCGACATGCAGGCGAGGCTGCTTGCGCGCGCGTGAAAATATCGGCTAACGAGATAAACTTTCCTTAACTACTCTCTTCTCTCACGTAAGCGTGCGAGCGAGTGCTCTCCCTCAACATTGATATTCCACGGGAGCGCTCACTTAATCCTCGTCTTTTGTCTTTAAGAGCCGGGACGATTTTCAAGGCAGACGCTGAATAAATGACTCCGAGATGTGCGCAGCTCCTTCTCTTTTTATCTCTCTCTCTCTCTCTCTCTCTATTTTTTCTTACCGAGATTCTTTTTAGCCTCAAACGATATTTTCTTCTTTTAATTGACGAAGAAGAAGAAAGCTTTCCATCGATATGGTGCCACAAGTTGATGTCTATCATATAATCTGCAAGCTACATATCGATACGATACAAAAATATTAAGCCAACACGACATACGTATTTACACATTTACTCTTTCAGGGTAAAGGTGTAAGAACGAGAATATAACAGTGATTTGCTGATTGATCTTTCACGGCAGCCCATACACGCGTACGTGTAAAAATAGCGTCTTTGATATTTCCGTTCTTTGCTGTTCTATACGAATATGTTTTTATGATAGCTCTTGCATCGATAGATTTTGTTATTATTAAAGCGATTCGAAGAATAAAGAAATCCTACGATAAAGTTTTTATTTTAAAACTTTAAAAAAATACTACATCCCCTACACGAAATCCTCATAAATCTTAGAACGTGCTTTTTGAAAAGAAAAAGTAACGACTAATTTTTACTGTGGGGCTTCGCGTTTACAAAAGATTTTACGAGCTGGAACAAAAATTCACAGGTACATAGATTTCAGGCAAACAACCATTTCCATCTAGGCTCATCCGAAGTCTAAAACTCCCACATGCACACAAAAATAACCTATCTTTGAGAGATTGCATAACAAGCGAGTAACTTACAATCATGCACGCATACTCTTGGCCTAGTTCCTTTTATGATACCTTTTTTAGCCCTGAGCGGGTGGAGGACGGGGTGGGACTCGTAAACGTCCGATAGCTCGCGCGGGCTGCTGTGGTTTTACGATAAATGCCTCCTCAAAGACGACGTATAAACTTTCCACGGTTGTTGCTCGTAAACTCACGCTGCCTCTTATTTTTTTATAGGTGCCGCAGCCGCCTCGAAGGTTTACGTCGATGCTCTGTCCAAACTCGCCAGGCAGGCGCAACTCGGTACCTGGGGTGGCTCCCAAGATGTTGGTAAGTGAAACGTGTCAGATTTCCATCTTACATAGCTACGCGAACGAACTGCAATAATTTTCACAAAGTGCGCGAGAACGTCCTTATTATTACTTTATACTGCCAGTTTGAAAGATAATATAATATCATCCTTGATTCACGTTTTCAAAACTTCTTACCCACGTACCGGTTGCTTAATATCCGTAATCATCAGTATCACGAGCTCAAATACGCAGACAAGACTGACGCATCAGCATGAGTGTCGTGCAGCTCGTAAACGCCGCGTTCGCGTAAGCTCGCTCGTATCCAATAACGCGTACGCGCGCATGGGCTGCCGGAAAATGAATTCGCGCGACACGTGTCAAACGGCAGAACGAGGCAAAGCGGACGTGTCTGGCGAGGCTTCCTAAAGCCAATATAACGCCAAGAGTGCACACGCGAGTACCAAAGATTCTTAAACTAACAAGATCATTGCCGAAGCGAGAGAGAGAGAGAGAGAGGCAGGGCGAAAGGTCGGCAACCCGGCCGACTCAAGTCTATCGTTGTTATGTGTTATGGTCAGCTGGATTTGTGAAGCCTCCAATCGCGAACATGGCTTAGGTGCCAGCGCCTTTGCGTACGAGATCGACTTGAACGTGATGCGAGGACTCTACGGGAACTACTCGGGTATTATTAAAAATGTTGAAGTCTAGATAGATGGCAAAGTGATTAAAGTTGATTAAAGCGAGTCACGGAGGAAAAAGCGTACACCTTCCAAAGTACAAAGTAATGGCAGCCAGCATCCCCAAGAGCGACGGACTTTTTTCGCATCACGTGCAATGTGATGGGGTTGGGTTCCGCGAATCGCTTTGAGTTTCGGACGTCGGCGGCGGCGACTTTCCCTCTTATCCGGCACTTTTTGCTGGAAAAGTTGAACGCGCGAAATGGGATGGAAGTTCGAGAAAGCCGGAACCGCATCGAGAAATTTAAACTTAATTACGAATAAGATTCTGCCTGGCTTTCATTTTGGATATTTTCGGCGGCGCCGGTGATCCGCTTTAATTTCCGGTAGTAGAAGCCAGCGAAATTTTTCGAGTGCTTCTCATTCGAGTTGAAATGCTGTTTTCAAAATGGCAAACAAGACATAAACCAAACCACGGAAAATTTAAAAAATACACATATATGTGTGTGTGTGTGTGTGTGTGTGTGTGTATACAACTATGATCGTGGCGCTGTGAAATTTTAATTTGGTCATCGTATCGCGAAAACAACCAGAACAAATATCCGCTTATTTGTAAAGGAAAACGCCCGTTACTTGCCAATATCGCATAGTTAATTTTATATCACGAGGCTCACTATTGAGGCGAAAAAAAACATGAAAATGTCGATATTTCGTTTATTCATTCTAAAATAAAGCCAATTACTGCGATGCACTGAAGCACACGGCGAAAAAGCAAGCAAGCAAAGCCACGGGAGGCAGTGTTTATCTCGTAGGCTGTAATAACTCGTCACTCGCAGCCGCCAATCAGCAGTAAAAACTTGATAATCGAAAGCTCGCGCTCAAACATCATCGCACGCATCATTAGCTCGGAAATCACTGCATATCCGTCAATTACTGCCCGCGTTTAACACTTTACGAGCTGGCTGTTGCTGCGATTTCCGCAATTTATAATTTTATGCAATTATGCACGAAGGGAAGGGTAAGCGCTTGGCCGGAGAACAACGAAAAGCCGCCCGCGCGACTCATTAATAAAACGTATTTACACGCTCGTTGGATCGCCTGCTGGACCCTCCTGCCCCGCTTCCTTTTGTGTCAGCCGCTTTGCAATTCTGGAAATAAAGCGATGGTGTACATTCGTGATATATATTTTTTTAAATACCCGTAACGCATGCACGGATATCTGACCAAACAAATGTTCGTGCCAAATTTTAATTCTACAATAATAATATTCTTTGATAAGTATAAGAACTTAATGGATTGTAAAAATATTGCAAAGTAAATTAGTAAGGAGCAAAGCCCAAACGAAGCAAGTTTACTAAAACCAATGGCAATAAAATTCTCGATAATAATGGCATGGAAGCCTCACAGAAACTCGAGCGTCCAGTGGAAAACAAGAGCACGCAGCCGCACAAACACACACTCGACCCTAATGCCCTTATCTGGTAATACAAGCGGCTTCGAAATCTGTGCCTTTCAGATTAGGAAGCTAGCAAAAGCACTCGTTTGGGCTTGGGCTGTTAATTATGTAAATGGACGCGCTGTTCAGCGCCAGCCGCTCTCCCGTCCGCGTGTGCTATCGCCACGATCTAATCGCTCTCCTCGTGGCTTTCGTCCTAACAGTTGCGCGAAAATTAATTACTAGGCCGTACAGGTGCTACTACAACACATCGCCTGACCCTCACTCTATATACTAGTCTGTTTTGTCGTATACGCCAATGCACTTTACGCCGCTATCAGCACTGCATTCGCCAAATCTTGCGATTGCCGTGTCACGCAATCCGATAACTTATCGACACAAAGTATCGACTTTAGTTTTTTTCTCCAGCGATTTTTTACAGCGACTTGTTGATTATCGCGAGTATCCAATGTTAGTGTCAATGTTATCTCTGAACAATCATTAATTTGCATTTATCAATCGTCAATACCTACATTATATAATGTTTTTTATTTAATTTCCTATATTTGTTCTAATATTAAAAAAGTATTCAATATCTGCAAGTAGCAAATAGTCGGTAGATAGCTAGCCGCACGAACGCAGCCGTTCTGTGGAAACGCATCGCTGTCTCTGCGACTGACACTCCAGAAGTTCATCTTCTTGTTTCATTTATGTCGCACGGAGATTAAACTCACCCCGTTCAGCAGGAGCTGTGCGCGATAATTAAATCACTATATACTTTAAAGATTCACCAATCGTTTTGTTTGACAGTTTCGACAAATCAATAATTTGACACTATTATACAGTGCCGAACTCTTGTTAAAACAATGTTCGTTTATTGCTGTCATTACCATTTTCTACAATCTACTAAAACAGATTTTCTCTAGAAAGATTAGTAGGAGACGAAGGAAAATTCGAGTTCTCGTTGGTGCAAGCTATTGCTCATACACATTGAGGCCGCTCGCGGAAAGTGTGCAGCATCCAGTTTAATTGCGTCTGCAGCGCGTCTGGAGGAAAACGAGAAAAAAAGACAAAGTGATGAGAAAAGGATCTGTCCGAGAGCGCAAAGGGTCGCTTTTAAGCGCTGTTGCCGCTGACACCACCTTGTGCTCTCGGAAGTCTGGTTGAGAGCGAAGATAAAATGACGAATAGCTGCACAGCAGCGATTCAATAAGTTTCGACAACTCGCCGATCTACACATTCGCACGCATACACGAGCATCGTTTTGAGAATCCAATATCAGTCGCGACGTCAAAACGCGCGAAAGACGAATGGGCGGACGCCTCGCAAGAGACAAGAGAGCCGCGGCGTCGCTGCCGCTTCGCGAGTTTGCTCACGCCTCGCGAACGTGACGCTGCTGATGCCGCCGCCGCTTATCCGCGGGCTTGTAAGAAACGCTCGACGTAGGGCTATTTGATATCGGCGCGCTTTGCTTAGTCGGCTCCTTTCTTTTGAGAATATGGCCGGGATTTAGCCAAGGCTACCACTAAATCCTCGTTGCCTCGGTCACCCAGCCTGCGCCTCGCTCTTTTTTCATTCCACTCTCGGTTAAGGTACTTGTTTACTATGGGAAGCGAACAAACTTAGGATGGCTTGTTTTTCTCTTTATACGCATCGTACGTGTAATACACTTTTGCAAGGAGCTAATAAATTTCATAAACTCGAGTAGCTTAATCGTAGGTAAAACGTAAACTTCAAAAAGCACGTTACATCCCTGACGATGCCAAATATTTCCAGGGGAGTGAAGGACGAGCGATGAAAAATTGACGCCGAAAATTCCATTTGTGGCATTTATACGTCACCCATGAATTTTGCAATGTAACTGGATTAACCAGCGTTGGAATTCGCGCCGACGCTTCGTGAATCATATCACCACTGCTATAGCTACATGTAGAGAAAGACTGGGAAAAGAGAGAGCCGAAAAAAATAGAGTGCCAGAGCTGAAAAAAAACAAGCTCCAGCTGAAATTGAATAATTTTCGCACCGGATTATGCTTGTAAATCCTCGTGGCTTAACGAGTTTTGGTAACTATGCGCTCTACACTCGGACAATTCCAGTTTTCCGAGTCGATCGTCAGCCAACGGGAAAGAAGATAAATATTGAGATTAACGAGCAGAGGCGGAGTAAAGGTTGACAGCGAACGAAGATGAAGAGCGGTAGAGAAAATTGTTGACAGAAGCATTCTTGTTTGCTCTTCTGGATAGTTTTCTCCCAAACGAAAATCAAATATGAATTTTTTCGATCACAATCCTACTAGCGTCATCAAAAATACTGATAAATGTCTGACCACAGCTACTTTTAGTCTACTTGTCAAATGCCAATTGAAAAAGCCAATTAACGAGGCATTGAAAAAAAACAATGAACACGGATAGAAATCTAGAAAACATAACGTTGTCAGCTGAAAGTGAGAATCGAAAACTGGGAACGAAGGGGGATAAAAAGCGCAGGAAGCCGCGTGTAGTGAGGCGAACGAGCGTGAAACCGGTCAGCCGTGCGACCGGATTGCGGTCGTCGTTCAATCGCGATACACGCCAGTCCTTCGAACACGGCGACCGTGCCCTCGGTTTTAATTCACCCTCTACAGCACTACCGTGGTGGTGTATCTCTCGTTATTTTTTTTTCAAGTGAGCGAGAGAGAGACAGTCTCGTTTCGCGGACTTGTCACGTGCGCACGCTTTTATTTCACTTTGCATCGCTTGGGAGCCAGATGTGTGGCAGTTGGTTTGTTGCCAGAGCTATTCTCTTTCCAACTTCGTTTCGTTAGAGATGTCCTATTCAATTGACGGACCTTCTTGAATTCGTGACCTGCTAGGAGCGATTACTCTTTCAATAATTCATTTAAATAGTATGTATAATAATTCTGTTATAACTTTACAGTTTCATTTC